TAAAGTATACTATTTGGGTGATGGTTACACAAAAACCCAGACTTCACCACTGTGCTATATATCCATATAACAAAATTACACTTGTACCTTCTAAATGTATGTTAAAAACCCACACAAATAAAAACATAAGGATAAAATGTATATATTAATGTATACCATTTAGAAGTAACAAATAATAGTTTGTCAAAGTAAAAAAAAGAAGAAGAAAAACAATGAAAGCTATGAAGGTCCATAAATGTAAAGAAACATGTTAAAAGCCATATAGCCAGTAAAAAGCAGAAGAGGGAACAGAGAAACTCAGATTCATCTTATTCTAAATTATTAATCTTCCCACACTCTTCACAGACCCAACTCTAACAAATTGCTTTTAAGAACTTTTTCTTTCCCTCTAGTTTCTGAGCTTCTTCTTCAGAAGTATGGCATATTCACATTTGGCTGCATAGACCCTAGCACATATATCCATGTCACTTTAATATTAAAGATCTGCAGTGTGAAGCCTCTAAGCATGCAAAGAATAGGTGCCTCCTATGGAGAAAAGGCCAGTCAGATATTTCCATACTATACAGATTGTAGGAGTATGAGGACACTTTCCTTCTTTCATCTTCTTTTGTTCTGTCATGTAATCCAGTAAAAGTTCACATGCCACGTTGCCTTGGACAATTGTTTCACCATGAAATATGCCAAATAAACACCCCTTTCTAGATAGTCATCCCCTAAACACACACACACACACACACACACACACACACACACACTCAAATGAAGAGAGCTATTCCTCTTATCTATACTGGATTTTATTGGGGAACACTGCCCTGGGATGTAAAATTTCTAGGTCCCAAACAAAAGGACAATTCAAAGCTCCTGAGAGAAATTCCCATCACAGAAAAGCAAAACGAGCCCAGCTAAGAAATAATCCAAGGATAGTACTATATTTTGGCCAAGTGCTAAACATACAGTAAGATTCTAGGTCTAATCTACCTCTCTCTCTTAGAATTCAGTAGTGAGGTGGCTGTCAAGGAGATGCATATTAACACATTTACCTGCTTTGAAAAATGAAATCAGATAATAACCAGTGAGAAAATAATGGATTTGGCTGAATGATTGGTCACTTAGGTCTGGCTCTGGCTTTTTCTTTGGTGAATATTTTCTATATGGTGCTTATTTTCCATAAATTCAATGAGGAAAATCTACTCTTCAAAGTTTCCATGAAAATGTATTTAACGAATATAAACACTATGTTGGGAATTAAACATGACAATTTTCAAACATAAAATTAGATGCTAACTTAAAATGTGTGAAGGGAAAAACTGCTATTTTAAAAATATTTTACGTGGTACACAAGCAAAAAAACAATATGTAGACAACTTGCTTAGACCAACTCCAGAACTCTGCATTTAGTCCTGAAATCTATAAATGAAAAAATGATACTAATGGATGCATTTTCAGAATAGAGTGGCCCTATCATTCCTAGAATTGTTAAAGCAACTGATGAATATTGAGCTATTCAGCCTATGGAAGAGCTGTTAGTGGGCATCCAGTGGCTAACCCTTATTAAAGACTATTTTGGAGGGAATGAAATTAATCTTCTTCCAAATTTTATAGAAGATAGAACTAAACTATTAGGCTAATTACTTTCAAGAAAGCAAATTTCAGCTTAAGATAAGATAGAACTCCCTAACCATTAGCACTGTCTGAAAATGTAGTAGATTTCCAACTCTGAACATGCTTGAACATAGGCTAGAGAATCACTGGGTGGGTGAAATGAAGTAAGCTAGGTCATCTCTAGTTTCCAGGTATGAAATAATATAGTAGGTATAGTGACTAGCTAGTTATTGAACTTAGCCTTAAACCTTGAAGAAATGTAAGCCATCCTCTTTTTTAGTAAAGGTCAGCATCCTTTCTGATGCTCCAGTAGTGGAGAACCAGTGATATCAGTTTTCTTCAGTATATGGCAATGCCTACAGGCAAATGAATTTGATATTTATGAAGTCCAAAATATTCCAGAGAGGAGCCTAGAATACAATGACTTGTCCACTGCAAAGGAACCTCACAACAGTAGCATAATTTCACAACTCCTTTTTTTGTTTGTTTTTTTCCTGTCATCAAATAGATTATCCAAATTCAGTTCTCTCCTATTTAGGATATGTGTGCTATTACTCTACTTTCTTAAAACAAAAATTCACAGCCAGCATCTTCACAAAGGGCTTTTGTTCACTCTACTTTAACTATAAATAAACTTTTTGCTTGCTGCTGCTACTTGGCTACCACCTCTGAAAATTTTGCCACAACTGGTCCTCACTTTTCCCCCTTCAGTTTCAAAATCTCTGTTTCTGACTCCTTTGGTGTTTTATTCTCTCAGAAGCTATTTCCACCACATGTTTTGTAAAAGTGTTGAAGGAAAAGGATGAGAGAGGAAGAAGAGACAGAAAAACAAAACAAAAAGTTACCTTCCATTTTTAAGAGAATTCGTTATATGGAAAATCCTAAGTCAGGAATGGATATCCTTGGCCAATGTTTTCACTTCATTAGTTTTCTGAAAATAAAGAGAATCCTGAGTTATTTTCTATGTTTATACAAATAAATTCCACATTTCACATCTGTTACTAACTGACTAGCTTAATCGGATGCCTATCAGTTGGTATTTAAAAGCCACAGAGCTATGAGGACTAACATGTTCATTTATTTAACCAAGATATTGATTACTGAGCTCCCTGTAGCAATGCTTTAGGTGCTAGCGATATAGAAGTGAGGTTTTCTTTCTAGTGTGCAGGGGCACTAAATGTGTTTTATTACACAGAAAATCTATGTTGAAGTCAGGGCAAAAAGATATGGTGTCAGTAACTCCTGCTTCTTTTAAGTTAAATTATTCATGTCCTGTTGTAGGTAAAGGCAAAATACTCACCTGTTTTTTTGTTGTTGTTGTTGTTATTTTTTTTTTGCTTCTACTCCCCAGGAGCTGGGGACAGGGATCCTATCTTTATGATAGAGCTGTAAATATATGCACAATATTACATACATCACTCCTTGGAGGATCACAGCCCACTTTGGGGAGTCACTGCCCCAGAACCTTCTCAGCTTGGAATTGGAAATGACGGGTCTTCGGGGAAGGGGCTGATTCGTATATCGGCAAGGCTCAGTGCCCCTGACCCCATCTCTGTCTGACCTGCATGCTCCCACTGCTTGGTATGGGTGTCCTCGGCCTTGTGCTGCTCCAGCCTGGCCACTGTCCCTCTTTGAGAAGACTCCATGGCACCTTCAGCCTGGGGTGTGGTGAGTGGCCCTCTTCCTCATCGCCATTAGGAAGCCCCAGGATAGAGACTGAGGCCCCAGTGTGACTGACTGATCCCAGAATAGAGCCAGAGATAGGCAGAAGGTGTCCAGGTGGCCATTAGAGAGGTAGAGGCCCGCGGGGAAAGGGGTGGCTCTGGAGAGTGGTGGGAGGTGAGGTGATGCCTCAGCCTCCCAGCGCCGATGCCTGGTGCACACCTCCAGGGAGTTCTGGCCCTTGAGGTGGTGCTGAAATAGTTCGTTCTCCTTGGTGAAAGCCTTATTGGCACAGGTCACAGGTGGCACTCATAGGGCTGGTCCTCGGTGTGCAGGTCCTCGCGGTTCTTGTGGTTGTAGCTGTGGAGGAAGCCGACTACACTGCGCCGTCTCCAAGACGGGAGCTCTCCTGTGTGCTTCCGCGCGTCTCCTCAGCTTATAGTTCCGGCGGGAGCGCACGCCTCAGAGGGGCGTGTGGGTCCTCCCGTGGTGCTGCGGTTTGCCCTCCCCTTGGATGATCCTGTGGTGACCCGGCACTCCTGAGGCATGTGGGAGCGGCGTTTGCGCACTAGCTTGTTGTGGCCATCCAGCCCTGGTGTCAGGGCGTCCTGGTGCAGGGGGCTTAGGCTGGCCATGAGGTCAGGATAGATGGATGGCATCCTGTCTGGGCCCAGCTTCTCTGGGGAGAGGGGGACCCAGCCCTCCAGTCCTGAGCCAGCCCACAGGCTGGAGGATATATGAGCTCCTCTTCTACCTCACCCTCATAGGCACCTTAGCTCAGGCGCCCCTCAGGAGTTGAGGCAGTCCCTGCGGGAGGGCTGTAGCTGTCCCCAGCCCACTGTTCCCACTATTGCCCACGCTGCCATCTCCCCCACCTCGTAGGTCAAAGGATGGGTGGGGACTGTGGGTACCTCGGGTACTAAGGTGATTTACCAGGGCCCCCTTGGTTTGCAGGAAAGTTTTTCGGTGCTTGCGGCTGCGTCAGGGCTACAGGCCCAGGCGGCGGTGGCGGGGAGGCGCGCCTGAGGAGGGCTGTCTTCGCCATCAGGAACTCCAGAGGCCGCGGCTGTGGCAAAGGCCCTCAGGTACTGGCGGGCTCGCACACTTTCTTTCCGGGGCTGGAGCTTCTAGCCCGCAGCACTGCAGGCAGCGCTGACACTGGGGATCCCCACCCCCTCCCCCACTACCCCGCCGCCACACTCTGTGAGGAGCTTCTTGAAGTAGTGGCTGCCTGAGGCAGCACAGCTGGGTGGGAGCGGTATTCTAAGCCTAGAGTCCCCGTGGTGAGGTCGCACAGGTGGCCCCACTGGAAGCTCAGGAACTCACTGCTGTGGTCCGGGAATGCAATCCCAACCACTTCACCCTCGGGGCTCACCATCTTCTCCTCTGGACTATCGGGTCCCTGGGTGGAGTTGCTAAGGCACAGGGTGTAGGGAGAAGCGTGTCCCCTGCCAGGCTAGGGGGTTTGGGGACAGGTTCAGATGCTGGTCAGAGGGCCACCGTCAGTAGCTTTCCTCTGCCACTTGCCGCCTCACTCTTGGGGGGCTCTGCCGCCACCCGCTGCCTGGTCCTGCAGCCTGCCCTCCCTTGACCACCAAGAACCATGCATTCCCTCGGTTTCCACCCCCACTAGGGCTCACCTGAATGGCCCGGTTGTCTTACCTGTCCTCCTGCTTGCTTTTCCTCCATTCCTCCCCTCCCTTCCCCTGCCCTTTGTTAGCCCCCAACCCTTAGAAACGTATTCTCCCTACGCATGTGTTTTATGCTCATTTTGTCTCATCGTGCGGAGAGAAAGTGTGCTGTGTTTGGAAGAAAAAGTGAGCTGGAATTAGATGAACTTAAGTCTGAGTTTTATCAACACTTAGTAACTGTTGATCCACAGTGTTCCGTTTTCCTCTTCCTTTAAGTGGAGATAATAATAGATACTTCACATAGTGATGAGGATTTAATAAGGCAAAATATGCAAAGCACACAGGAGAGTGCCTTAGATATAGGAAGTGGTTAAGAAATTGTCATTTTTCTTCCCCCGAACTTCTTGTTCGTACTTTGCCACCAAGAAAGGCAGGCATGGAGGTACATTCAGCATCGAAGGTAGGACAGTTCGGTCAGGCTTCTCTCTTTTTCCTCGATCATAAACCCGGTGTTTACACTGTGAAGTATACAGAAGACATGAAAGCACAACACAAAATGACCATTTAATTTTAAGGACTTCTTTCAATAGTTTTTTTCTCAGCTCGATTTAAAGTTTTTCTGTTTACAACACAAAAGGGCCCTAACCTTGACTGAATGCTTATTCTGCATACTTATTAGCATCACCAAGGGTTTATTAGAAGTTTTGGTCCCTAGGGAAGGCAGGAAGGCACCAGTTAGATTTTGACTCTGAGGAATATTTAAGAAGAAGTATAGGGGGTGCTGTGTTGCAGAGGGCTCCCTGCTCCAAGGTCAAGACTTCTAACTGTGGGCAGCATGAATCCCCTGACTGGCCTATGTAGGGGCCACAGAAGCCTTGCTTCACTGATGTAAAGAAACTTAGACAAGTCTGGGGAAGGATCATCCTAAGCAAGACTGGTTGAGGCCATGTTGTAACTTCATCACAGCCCAACTTCTCTGCCTCATGCAGCATCCTTCCCTCTCCCACAGGCATTGCTTGAGAAAACACATTCCAGCAAGCTTTTGTATACACTGATCGCTATTGTAGAGGCTGCTTTCTTGGGAGGCTGAGCTGCAATGGGGAGTCATATCTTTACAGTCTCTCGTTGGCAGCAATGTCCTACTCAGATTCATAGGCTGGCATCAATTCTATAACTTAAAATCCCATGACAGAATATTCATACAGTGAATACTCTGCAGAAATCGAAGTAAAATAATGATTGCATAAAACAACCTGTGTGAATCTCATGAACATATTATTAGAGAAAGAAGCTGGACACGAAAGAATATATCTGTATGATGAGAAGTAAAAAGTACACCTTTATATAAAAATAGGAAAATTTTCTATTAAAAAATATGAAAAATTGAAGTATCAGAATACAAGATAGTGACTACACCTGCAGGGGGAAGTAATAATTAGAAAGGAGCAGGTAATGTTTTGTTTCTTGATCTGGGTGCTGGCTACACAAGTGTGTTCACTTTGTGACTATTCAATAAGCTGTACACATACTATTTGTATACTTTTCTGGAGGTAGATTATATTCCAATAAACTTTTATTTATTAAAAAATATGTATACTTGATAATGTAGCCTTTAGGGAAATAAACTGACTCTAAAATTTATGAATATTTAGGCATTTTAAGAAGCTCAGAAATAAAATATTCCTGCTGTTTATCATAAGCCAGGCAAAAATCATACCAAAGAAGAACAACAGGCAAGCATTCAGTGGTGAATGGTTTTGTACACTGCAGAATCATTTAAACATATGTCCTACAAAAAGATTTCCTCCTTTTTTATGATGACAAGTTATTATGGCCTGGCAGGTGATCACAGCTGAAATATTTAGAAAGCACTTCAGATGGAGAAAAACTCAACAAAAACCATTTGAAATCCATTTAAAGAAAATTTTTCTCTGAAGAGCCAAAAAGCAAAGAGGGCAATTAATGGCAATTTATGACATAACAGAATCAAGTATAGTCATGTGCCCCATAATAAAGTTTTAGTCAATGATAGACGACAGCATACATGGCAGTGGTCCTATAAACAGAGCTAAAATTTCCTCTTGCCTAATATTTACTATGTGAAACTTTTTATTATCATTTTAGAATATACTTTTTCATTTATATATATAAATATACATATTTATATATATATATTTTAAAGTTAACTATAAAAAAAACAAAAAAAAAACAACCTCAGGCAGGTCCTTCAGAAGGCATTCCAGAAGAAGACATTGTTATCATGGTCAATGACAGCTCCATATGTGTTATTGTTACTGAATAACTTTCAGTTGGGAAGGGTGTGTTGGGAGGCAGAAGACAGTGATATTGATGATCCTGACTCTGTATATGCCTAGCCTAATGTGTGTGTTTGTCCCTTAGTTTTTTAAGAAAAAATTTCAAAAGTAAAAAATAAAGTAACATTTTAAAAACCTTACAGCATAAGGACATAAAGAAAAAACATTTTGTATAGCTGTGTAATGTGTTTTTGTTAAGCTGTTCTATTACAAAAGAGTAAAAATTTTTAAAAATTAAAAAGTTTATAAAGTAAAAAGGTACTGTAAGTTAAAGTTAATTTATTATTAAAGAAAGAAAAAAATCTTGTGTGAATTTAGTGTAGCCTAAGTATATAGTGTTTATAAAGTCTACAGTAGTGTAGAATAATGTCCTAGGCATTCACATTGACTCACTACTTACTGACTCACCCTAAGCAGCTCTCATTCCTGTAAGTTCCATTCATGGCAAGTGTCCTATACAGGTATACCATATTTCACCTTTTACCATATTTTTAGTGTACCTTTTCTGTGTTTAGAAATGTTTGGATACACAAATACTTACAGTTGAGTTACAATTGCCTACAGTATTCAGGACAGTAACATCCTATACAGGTTTGTGGCCTAGAAGCAATAGGCCATACCATATAGCCTAGGTGTATAGTAGGCTAAACCACCTAGGTTTGTGTAAGTGCCCACTGTGATGTTCATACAATGATGAAATCACCCAAGGACACATTTCTCAGAACATACCACTGCTATTAAATGACACATGACTAGCTTGTTATTGGATCAGCTTGCTTTTAGAATGAACGGGTTGAAGAGAATAACAAACCCAGTTAATTCTTTTTTATGAGTTTTTATTTTGCTCTCTAATTATTTTTATTGTGAGAATTTTTCCTGCTTTAATTTTTAGTATCACATATCCCACATTTTGTATGTTCTATTTCTGTGTTGTCTGTCTCCTGTCTTACATTAAAACAAGATTCAGTGAAAGCAAAGCTTTAGCAAACTATTTGCACTGCTGTGTCTCCTAAAATAGTGCCTATTGTATAGTAAGTTCTTAATAGATATTTGTTGAAAGAAAAATGATGTTTGCTAGAAAATAGTCTTAACGGTTATATTTTCTTAAGTATGCTAAAAGAGAAAAAAGTATATTACCTAGAAATTACAATTAACTTTAAAGATCAAGTTATAGAGTATCAGGTTCTCAGCTATCAGTGGTGAATGATTCTGCTGCTAGAGAGATGTAGCACATGGTTTTCCACAGGCTCTTGTAATCTATGAGTTTTCCACAAAGGCACAAAGAACTACTTTGTATAAATCCCTACTAGTCAGGGGCAGCATTCAGCATCTTCTCACCAAGACTACAAGCCTCTCCTGGTTCACTGAATCCTGTTGAAGATAAGTTTCTCTCAGGCTCATCTGCCTAGTAAACACATGAAGCTAGGTTGTAGATTCCCGGGATGAGAGATTACTGGAAACAGTAAGAGGACTGCCAACATCAAGGGCAGCCAGGAAAAAGTGTACAATGTCCTCCTTTCTATTCTCAGATCCACAAACTTAAAATGGGTTTCTATTCTCCTTGTAGCTACTCTTCAAAGTTAACCTCAATGCATCACATTCATATCATGATAGATGTCACCTTTAATGCTGAATCTGTGCATAGAATATAGCTAATGTCTTTGTGTCACTTTGAAGCCTTAAGAAGGATTGAAAACTTCTATTACCTTTTTGGAAGCCTCAAGTTGCCATGTTGGAAGTCCAATTAACCTACTGAAGAAAACATGGAGAGACCATGTAGAGGAATAATCCCTGAAACTACATGTAATAAATGAGGATAGACCTGCCATCCCAGTGCCCTACGTACCTGAGCCCAGTCTTATGGCTGTCAATCAGTGCACTAGTCGTGTGAGTGACTAGTCGTTGGTTATTTAAGCCCAGTTGAGCCCCCAGATATTGCAACATTAATTCACATTATGTGGAGAATAAGAACTACCCAGCTGAACCGAGTCAACATATACAATTATGAGAAATAATTAGATTTTGTGTTAGGTCACTAAATTTCAGAATATTTGTTATGCAGCAATAGAAAATTAAAATTATTAAAATTACCACTACCTCATATACCCAACTAGAGTGAGGAAAGAGGTATAGAGTCTTCTTTAAGGGAGACATGAGATTGTAAGACTTCTGTCTATATCTAGCTTCTGCATCTTAGCTTAGAAGAGGTAGAGGTAGTTGAAAAGATGGTTGGGATGGCTACCTCAGTGATTCTTCCCAAGCTCTTTATCTTTCATCAGAACAAAAATTCTAAATTTTAAACATGAATTCTTTCTTTTCCAATTATGTGACTGCCACTTTCCCTGACCGTGGAGGAGTGTTAGCCTCATATATCATAGCTCAGCTGGGGATAAAGGGCAATAAATGTTTTAAAGTCTGGGTATGGCAGGAAACATCATTAACACTTTATGTATCTTTCTGTCACATCTCTATAGACAAATGTCAGATCAAATGCTCCTGGGATAACAAACTATTCTGACACAAAAAGCTGTCCCCTGTTCTTATACATGAGAGTTGACCCAATATTTGGATCATTATATCAAAGATCTATTAGACTACATTACCAGCACAGACAAAGTGTAACCTTAGGGCTTAAAATAAAGTATTAAAAAAACAAAACTTAAAACAAGAATTTGGTTTGATGTTAGAACAAAAGAACTAAAAGATTTCAGGATTAGAAGCTTTAACCAGCAAAAATCCTAAACCAACATTATTAAATTGAGCCCAAGTGAGCAATCAGGGAATCAGAAGTAGATTCTTACTCTTTTCTCAAATTTGTATTTGCTTTCCTTTATTTTGTTTCTTTTCTATATGCTCTGAAATAGTTCTTCCAGTAGATTTTGTCTTAAAGGAAATAAATAGAATAATCCAATCTGCTCATATTCAAATCTGAATGCATGGAGCCCTTTATAAAACATGTGTTAAATAATTCAATGAGCAGATTATTATTACAGTGAATTAAATACATGGACATGGTATATTTTTAATACCCTTGGGTAAAGCCTGTTTTAATTCTATAATCCCAACTGGATACAAAATACTTAAATGAACACCATTAACTTTTGTCTGTTTTGTTTAGAAACATAATAACAGTTGAGAGACATTTATTAAGAAAACATCAACTCTATTTGCACATTCTTTATAGAGAATGTTAGAAAAACAAAATTTTAATTTTCATGTGTATAATCTTTTAATATAATTAGAATGGAATACAATTAGGTACTTTCAGATCTTTCAGTGTTAATTAAAAAGCTAATAATTTGAATGACTATAAATACTGAATTAGTGGGGCTAATGCTCTTGGCAGTTAATCCTTTATTTGTCATTTACTGAAGATCACTTAACTGGGATACCATCTTTATGTCAGGAATCCCCACCAATAATTTCAAGGTCTCTTATTCTTAGATAGTAGGTAGATCTTTCAGCTATTTGCAAATTCACCGGATACCACTCTGGGCATTTCCAAACAGGCAGCAGCCACTGCCTTTGACTCAGTCCGTTAAGGAATTTTACTGTCAGCAATTTCCCTGGCTCCCTAAACTGTGGTAGTGCTTTCTAGGTTTTAGAGAAAGTAAAAGTAGCTACACTAGAAAAAAAATAAAAATAAAATTGCAGAGCTCCAGGACTCTTCTTTAAATTGGGTTTAACTAGTCATAGAAATAACATTTTAAGAGTAGACAATGTGAGCATCAGAAAGATTAATATCAGCAATTGGTGGAAATATATCAAATAGAATTTGATGTTTTTATAATAATGAAAATCCATAGTATATAATGCTTAAGACAAAATTTGATTGGTCACCATTAGAGCAGGCTAGGGAACCAGTTCATAATTCTTAAAACTAGCAAATAAAGTGAAAGAATATAAAAAAAATTACCTTGACTTTCCTTTAAAAACCATCACTCAAGTTACCTTTTCAGGTACTCTTCTTGGGTTAATGCATGAATGAGTAATTAGAATTTAGACTGTTACCATATTGCAATCCATAATGAAGTAAATGACCTAAGTGAAAATCATCAACAGTTACTAAAACCATTAAGTTAAAAAAAGAGAGAGCAATCTGATAACACCTCAATCTACTGATTAATATTAGTGTCTATATCATTAAGCTTTTACTACCATGATGTTGCTCAACAAATAATCCCCAAACTCAGTAGCATACAATCATACACCTTTATTTCTTGCTTATAAAAACATTGGATCTGTGGGTCAGTTGATGTTAAGCTGGGCTTGGTTCCAAATGGTGAGTTGGTTTCAGGTCAACTTTTCCTGTCTTCACAATCTGTATCCCATTATAAAAGAGGCAGCCACTATTGAAACGCACGATTCTCATGGCAGAAGGCAGGAAGCCTAGAAGCTAAGTCAGACCATGAAACACATTTGAAGCCTCGGCACAGAGGTGGTGTAGGTCACATCCCCTTACAATCTATAGGCCACAGCAAGTGAAATGGCTAAGCTCAGTACTGATATAGTGGAGAAGTATACTTTTCTTATGAAGGCTGGGGAGAGGGAAGCCTTGTATGGAGAGAGAGATTATTTGTTGAATAAGCAATCATAAGATCTACAACATCACAAAAAAGAGAGACAACCAGACATTAGCTTCCTATGATGTGATCAAATAAGTGTGCAAGCCAACCTATGAAGTATTCTAAGCCTTGATATCAAACTAGCAATTTACAGAAAATAAAGGAAGTGGAGGAAAATGTTAAAAAACATTACATGGAAGCAATTGCCAAAATCTAGAATGTGAACCACACTATAGAGCAATAAATTGTTTTCTTCCACACAATAAAAGATGGAAGAGCAACAAATATACATATTAAAATACATTAACAGAAATCTCAGAGAAATGCAATGTGTGGACCTTGATGGGATCCCAATTTGAATAAATCAAATGGAAAGAGGCATTTATGAAACTATCAGGGAGATCTGAATAATAATTGCCTATCTGATAATATTAGGGAGTGTTAATTTTGTTGGATATAATAATGGCATTTTGGTGATGGTTTTCAAAATAACATTATATTGTACAAATATATTCTGTAATATATAAGAAGGAAATTAGGTGTGCTTCAAAATATTCTAAGGATGATCAGGAGCAGGGAAGAGATATAGATGAGTATAGATGAGATAAGTTCTGTGGGTGATGAGTATTTAGTAAATTGTCCCATTCTCTCTACTCTTTGGGTTGTTTTAATTTTTCCATAACAAAAAAAAATGCAGAGAGAGAGAAAAAAAATTATTTTCACCAAACAGAAGTAAATGTGGTTAAGAAGGGGACGCTTTTGAGATAGTATATGGTCTTTGACTCTCCCTATTTGTGCCCTGTACAAATGTCAAATTTTTTCATTTCACGGGAATAACCCGGTGACCCAAACTAATGCTTTTCAGTATGTATTTCAAATATGAAAAAGTGTATATTAGATATGCTTTTTTCCTAGGAAATAAATATAGCCTGAAAACCTCTTCCTCTATAAAATATCAAGAAAAGACCTCAAAAAAACAGATTTATTTAGATTCTCCCAATGAATGTCTCTTAATGAACATAAAACCAGTCTATGTAAGCAGAATACTTTCTTTAGTCAGGTGAAACTTTTTTGGTAAAAGAATTCTCCTCTAATCCTTTGGCACTATTTTGTTTTATATACAGAAGGAAACAGAGCCACTGATCAATTATATTCATGTTTTCATAAGTGAATGAGAATGTGCTTATTTTGTTGAGAAAACACCAATTTTATTTGAGATTACAATCAAATGGCAACATATTTTTAGGAGACACAAAGAAAATGAAATTTCAAGGGAGCTGCCATTTTAAAAGAAAACAACTCTTGAAGAGGGAACTGATATTATTTTTCCCACAAGAAAATGGGCAATGGTTAGTCCTGTGTGGCATTTCAACCCATAGTGATTTACCTGAAGGAAATCATTAATTCTTCCTGGCATTTTAGAATAATAACATGATGATGAGACACCTAAAAAGCACTCAGAGAAAACATTGGTTGCAAGTGCCTGCCCAAATTGTTTAATGTTAGTCAAACTTCAATTGTGTTTGAAGGATGCATCACTATAATGGATTTCCAGTTCCACATGGGCAAGGCTTGGTAGCCATTACAAGCTGTAGTTTATTACTTTGCATTATGTATGAGATGATTTTGTGAGCAGGTACACAAACACAAAGGGGAAAAATACAAGAAAGCAATTTCTTTTATTGCTCAATATACAACAGTTAAGAATAATTTGGGAATTTTTCAAATAGCTTATTTTGGGAAATTCTTAGATGTACTTAGGACTGATTGTTTTCTGCAGTGCTTACTAAATAATTTGGCTGTAGCTAAGACAGACATTAATTCTAAGGGAGTTATCTCTAGTTACAGATTAGAAGCAAAATGTCACAAAGAGGGTGCTAGATTTGGAATAAAAAGATCTTCAATCTCTGTTTCTAACAATGATTAGCTGTGTGGACCTTGGTCCTATATTTAATTTCTCTGGGCCTCATTTGCCTCTTCTCAGAAAAAGAAATAATACAGTCTGCCTCACATGACAGTAGTTAAGATTGCGTGAGCCTAGCTCAATGGTTACTAAAAAGCAGATACTCAAAAATGTTGGCTTAATCCAGATTACTAAATCCAGATTACTAAATACATGTAAATGGATTTTGCAAATTCAAAAACACTATACAAATATAGCACAAACGTATAACAGGATTATTTTGTTTTGTAAAATTTGTTTTCAGATGTCTTGATAGTGTTTCACCAAAGACTGTTATTTGGGGATTTTTCTTATTAGTGAAAAGACTGGATGTCAAAACTGAAGCCATTCTGTCTTTTAACCTTGAGATAGGATCAGCCAGTCTATGGAATCTTATTAAATTGGGTCTTGAACTGCTGTTGTAAGAAACAAAGGACTGTTATTAGTGATGCTGTGGAATGGCTTCAAAATAGTGGTATGTTTTGACACAAAAAGTATGATAGATAAGTTGCGAAACATGAAGGGTAATTCTTATGCATAAAATCTAGCCACCATAAACTGAGCAACTAATCTCATACACACAAAGTGCCAGAGAAGCTGTGCATTACTTTTTCCGTACAACATTTGCAGCCACACAATCTGTAATTTATGCGCAAATGAGTAGAAGCAGAGGGAATGTGTATGTTCTTCGTGGTTTTGGCACACAGTTGCCATTTTAATCCAAAACACTCTCAAATCTGGCCAATTTTTCTCCATACTCTGGAAAAATCATTTTCTTTTGGCCAGAGACTTACTGTAAGAATTATCAAGCCTAGAGAAGAGGTTTTGTTTACAAATTCAGAAGGGAGAAAGATCAAAATCCAGGCAAGAACAGAGAAGGTCCTGCAACCTTAGCTCCACATGGAGTCACACTTCAAACTTCAGAATGAGGGTTGGCTGCACTGTGTGAGAAGGTTAATTTTCTTTTAGATGAGTGAATCACTTTAGATGAGTGAAACAGTTCCCCAGTTAGAGAACACACTTCTAGTATCAGTGCATGTGTTCTTCAGCAATGTTTTGCTCAGAGACTTCAGTATAATTTCTGTGAGAGTATACACAAAACACAAGCTACAAGCAAGGAAAGACTAAAAACTGCAAGGATCCATCCAGGGTACATGAAGATGAAGATAGAGCAGAACATGTTGTCAGATCCCATTGCAAGTCTACTTAATGTAAAGTAAAACAGCTCAAGTCTACCTATAGATAAGCTTTCATTTCTAAAAATTCAAAATGCCAGATGCTGACAGATTTGAACAGTTATGAGACCTCAGGAAAACATCATTCTGTTGTAATCTTCAAATCTTCTCAGGGCATACTATATTCAGTTTTTTTGTGTGTGTTCCTTTTCATCTAGAAGCTTCTTTCACAACAACATTTAGGCTATAAACTGGAGATAGTATGTGTGGTCAAAAAAGAAAAGTGAGTTTAAAAGTTGTACGGATGCTCAAATCCCAGCCAATTTTGCCTCCTCAAAATTGTAAGCTCAAAGCTCAGCAGCAAAGAATTATTATCTCTGAGCCTCAAATTTCCTTAAATGTTTAGAAGTTAAATGAAGATAGTAAGGTCTCAGAAAATTATAAAGTTGTATTGAGTTAAATAGAATTAATATATATGTGTCTTAAATAGAATTAAGTATATACATATATTATGTGTATATATTGTGTATATGTAAATACATATATGATATATACAATATTTGATATAAAATATCCATTTTACATACACATGTGTTTATACAAATATGTGTGTATACGTATATACATATGTGTATACCTATATCTATCTATTGAGAGAGAGAGAGAGAGAGAGAAACAGAGACAGAGAAAGTAAGAAAGATATCTGAAACTTAGCCCAGGAACTGATAAAACCTCTATAAAAAATAACTATCATTATTAGTTCCAACGTGCATCTATTCATTGCTCACAAATATTTTTGAGTGGCATATACGTGAGAGAAATGAAATAGTAAACAATGCAGTCATTGCATTCAAGAAGTTTATTTTGTAGTTTAGAAAACATCAAAGTGACATATTCAGAATAGTGCTACAAAAGAGATAAACAATGAAATACACAGGAGAATTATCCAATGCAATCTTCAGAGCTAAGGGAAAGTTTCTTATATAAAGTGACACGTAAGTTATGAAATACCTGAAGCACAAAAGGGAAGCAACCAAGCAAGAAACAAAGGTTGGGGGGAGATAAGGTAGATAAGAAGTTCTACATAGAAGTGACATTAAGGCAAAGAAAATAACAAACTATCAGCTATTTTAGAGAGCATTCTGTGGGTGACACACTATACTAGGAAATTTACATATTCACTTAATCCTCAAGGTGAACAGTTATAGAACTGAAACTCTGTCTATCTGACTCTAATGCATGAGCCATTTACCATGATATCATAGCACATTGGGACTGGCACACTATGGGGTTGAGCATAGAGTCAGACAGGTGGTAAGAGTGGAAGGCTAACAAGGAAAGGTTGAGGGTGCTAGTTTTTGAATGGCATTACCAATTGTGCCCCGGGGAAGAGGAAAACGTTCCTTAGATATATGGTTTAGAAAAGACATCTGATGGCTCAATACATGGACATGCTGAATTAGAGACAAATCTAGAAGAAAAGAGACCAGTTAGAAGTTTTTTGCAGTAATCTATTAATATAGGAGAGATAATAGTGGGCCAAAGTAATTGTTGACACAAGTAACAGTAGAATATGAACAGATTCAAGAGGTTTCAAAAAAAAAAGAATTAACAGAACATAAAGAATTATTAAATGTGGATATCAGGAGGTAAGAGAAGAGTGAAATTTGGGGTCTGAGCAACTAACTAGATTCACTGAGGTAGGGAAAACAGGAAAAGCAAGTTTTGCAAGTTTTGCAAGCAAGGCAGAATCATGTAAGATATAAAGTGCTTAGTACATTGGAGCCATTCAATACATGGTAGATATTTTTTTTCTCTCTGGTTCTTTTTGCCTTTCCAAAGCTACTTTAGTGGACATCCTGGTTCTAGGTTCACCACTCAACATTTTTATCAAATACAGATGTAAATTAAAATTGTCATTATTCTCCCAGCCCAAGAAAGGTCTTTGTCATAGGAATAAACTAATCACTAAAGTAAGTCAGATATAGTCATTGTCCTTTTAGATGTACACAAGTTTTCCACATAAGGAAAAATATCCCTTCTTTTTAATAAATTTCATATAAACATTTTATCCAGGAAAAGCACATGCAATATACAAGATGATAACATTGATAATATACCTAGTGTGGTGCCTGGCAAATGATAAGTGCTCAATGGATGCACATTAAATGAAATAGTAACTCTTCAGTTCCATTGACCAGGCAGGTTCTTAAAACCCATCTGTTTTCAGTCTTAAACCACAAGAGTCTGACTGATCAGCTACCTGTCTGAAGAATATTTAAAAACAGGATGAAAGAAAAGACAATAAGTCTTCTCAAGTCTAAAATTCTGTGATTCTACTATGAGGAATATCTGATGGATATGCTAATTACCCTGGATCTGATCACTATATATTATATACATCGAAACATCACTATGTACCCCATGAATATGTGCAATTATTATTTGTCAGTTAGAAAAACAGAAAAAAAGTGTGTGTTTTTCTGATCATATAACACCACAGAATCATTTTTTCACAAGTGGACCTAGAAAATCAGAAACTATAAAGACAGTTTACACATAAAACCTATAAACATCTATGGACAAATCACAAGTCCTGGGTAATATAAAGTAGATTGAAAATCTTACTCAACAAGCTCACATTTTGTCAGTCCTAGACATTTCCCATTACTATTTTCTCTTGAAGATATGATTTTGGGGGTTTATTGAATTCTTATTATAGGTCCTACTGTATGAGTGTAATATACCTTATCATTCACTGTCCTCACCATAATGCTACAGGCATCAGTTACCACCCACATTTACATACCAAAAAACAAAATAAAACATCTGGGAGTTAGATAATAACTTACCCAAGCCTCATATTTGAGAACTATAATTCTTATAGTGCATGTGTTTTTGTTTTTAATTGTGCTCTGAGATATGTTGGAAAGAACCCTCAGCTTACTGTATAGATCCATGCCCCTATCTCAATCCAAATCACTTTATTTTAGAAATATCAGCTTATAAAGGTTTTCTCTAAGTTCCAGCTTTCTTATTAGTTAGATGTGGCAAATGACGCCTACCTTATTCATTTCAATAGGTTGCTAGGGGATCAAAAATGCTGATTTATCTATAAGTACTTTGTCAACAGTAAAGAAATATTTACACATATATGAAACTATTATAGTATTAGCTCACAGATTGAACTTAACACTAAACTGTAAATTAATAGGATCGTGCATGATGAAGAATTAGTAACAGTAATGTTAAATATAGGTTTTATATTCTTAGTAATATTTTAAAATCTTTCTTACATATAAAATTAATAAAAATTGATTGTGTCTCATTAAAGCATCAAATAGATCAAATAGTACTTTCAGTTTTTGGCAAATCATTATAATGGATAATTTTTCTTGCTTTGATAAAATTTATCTATTTAATTAATGAGGCTGGTAATTATAAGTCAGAAGAAAATCTGATAAAAGTGAGAATCTTTTCACCCATCCTATTTTAGATAGCTCTTTTATAAAATATTATGTCCACTGTATAATGATGAAATAGGAAACAAGGCTCATATCAAGGGTCCCGTTTACAAATTAAAATATTCTAGAACACATTCTTGCCACTCTACATATTTTTCACTTTCAAATATTCTCCTCCCCAGAAAATAAATTTTTAATAAAATTAAAATCAGAATTTTCTAGAAATATTTAATGAGTCATCTAACAGTTCTCTAATAATTTTGTCTATATATAGTACTACTTATAGGTAAATAAAAGAAAGCTATGAGAATACATTGATTGCACACAGTCACATACACCCATACTCAATTGATTGCACACAGTCACACGCACCTATACTCAATCAAATATGAATGAAAATTACATTTTTGTATACAAGTTTTATTCTGATTAAAGAAATAAATACCTTATAAAGAAGTCCAACATTCTTATTAAATACTAATGGAACAATGCTCTTAAATCCAGAGCAAGAAGTAATTTGTTACCTTTTTGTTTGGAGAGCTTTATCTTACCATACTATAAATTCATCCTCCAAGTAGCCTTTAAACTTATGAGTGTGTTTAGGTATCTGTGTGTACCCATTAAACCCATACATTTTCTCAAACACTTTTATCATCATTTCCTCATTATAATTCATAAAGAATTTTCATTATTTACCAGATAAACCAAAATTCATTCTGAAGAATCTTTTACAAAACAGAAATAATTATATGACCTTTGGAATGACGCTTAACTCTTTGCCAATTGAAAACATTCTTGTGTAGGAGCCAGAGAAGAATTGAGAGGTTTGGTCTAACTCATTTTTTTTTTTTTGGTAGAAAAATGGAATTTCAGAAAATGATGCTGCTTGCTCAAGGTCAAATAAAAATTAGTGCTTGAACTGACAAACCTGGGCCTCCTTACTCTGGGTCTAGTGCTCTTTGTGCTAAAGATCTGTGGCTTGGTGTTCCTCTTCTTTTATGCAGAGATAGTCTAATAGGAAAAATGAAGAATAAAAAATAAAATAAGAAAATAAATATAGTAATTACAAAGTATGAAAATAATAAGCACCATATATTAAGTGCATACTGTTTGGCAGGCATGATTCTAAACATTTTTTCTTAAATATTGTACACATTCTTCAGAGCATCCCTATAAAATGGATATTATTGGTATCTTTTATGGATTAAAAAATACCTGAAATACAAAAAGATTGAATAACTTAATCAAAGTCACAGAACTAGGAAACAGTAGAAGCAGGATTCAAACCCAAGAAATGACAAAAACACACAGCCATTAAATGGAAGACCAGAAGGTTAAAGAGCCAGTCCCAGGGAAACCACAGTGTGTGAAGTCCTTGATTCAGGACAAAGATGGGTATATCAAAGAGCTAAGAGAAGACTAGTGTAGCTGAAATATAATTTTTAAAAGCAAGGAAGGGTGATACTAGATAATGAGGAAGACTGGCCAAGGGTGAATTACACAGGGTCTTAGATGCCATAAAGAAAAGGTTGAGTTTTTAAGCAGTACAATAGAAAGCCACTGAAGACTTTTTTAAAGTAAATTTGTAACATAATCTGAATTAACATTTTTAAAGTTCAGTCTGGCTGAAAAATCCATGTTTCATCTTTTTATATATGCATCCATCTATTCATTGACTGAACAAGCAATTGCTAAGTGCTGATTTTAGTATATATCCTCACACAAAGTTTGTGGTACCAGCAATATCACTTATGCACCAAACCAAATATATATTCACTAACAGTAAATGTTTCTGTCTGGAAGTTGTACAATAATTTCCTGAATCCTAGCAGCTTGTACAACACTATGTACATATAGTTGAAATATAAAATAGCCAACTGGTTATCTCCATTAAATCAACCAACTATTTAACATATTTTATTTTTCCTGGAATCAGCTGCTTATTTTGACATTATGTCCTATTTCTTGGAACTTTAATGTTCTTGCTTTATATTTCTAGGTAAGATATAAAAACTGTTGCAAAATGTAAATCTGTGTTACTTTGACAGGCAAATATTAGGCTCTGACAATGATACATAGTGCTTATAATATTACCTACAGAAATCATACTAAGACATAAAGCTAAAAGTTTTCAGTCTTGAAATAACTTTCATGTATACACTTAGCACAAGCAACCAATAAAGTAGGCACTCTGATATGTCATCTATTTGCCTGAGGTATCTAACAATTTAACATTATTAAATATCTGCTATAGGCAATGTGCTATTCTAAAGCACCATGAGAGATACAGAAAAAGTATGCTCTCATGCTTACAAACCTTTAATGATATGAAGTCCTGATATTATGCAATTTTACTTTATGATGTTAGACAATAATACTAAAGATCATATTTTATAGCAAATCTGCAGAAACCTAAAAGTAGCCTTCCCATTAAAACTGTATTTTTTGTCTCATTCATTGAAGCAGGAATGTCTTCAAATATTCAACATAATGAAATAAAAGAAATTTCAATGGCCACAGGTATATCAAAGGATCATCTTTTTACTCACAGAACCACAGGATCATAAAATCTCTGAGTAGAAAGAGACCTAGAGGGCATCTACTCCAATACTTTTTGGTTTCACAGTAACATAAAAACAACCCGGGGTGCTTTCTAGCAATATAGATTCCCAGGCTCTAGTCCCTAGAGATCCACTCAGCAGGTCTGGGTAGTGTCTGGTAATATATACTTTGTAAAAGTTTCCCAGGTGATTCTGATATGTAGCCAGGTTTGAGAACACAAACCTGGCCCAACTCCTGGATCTGTTATGTAAATACATTCTGCACCACCGTTCCCAACAGGCTGTCATCTAGTCTCTGTTTTAATATACATGATGATAGAACCCCAAATCTTAGACTGTTGCAGTTATTAGGATGTTATCTACATATCTGTATCTATCAGTATGTATATGTGTGTGTGAGTGTATGCATAGATAAATAGATATTTATCTGTTAACATCTGTCTCCAAAAATAATGCTATAAGCTTGATGAGGGCAGAGGCCAGAGCTGTTTTCTGTACTATTGCATAATTTACCATTTAGCTTAGACGTTGATATTTACAAGATAGTCATTAAGGTTTGTTGAAGGCATACTGTACTGAATGAGTTCCTTAGTTTGACCTGAAGTTTCTCTATTGTGCTAGTTTTTATAGTTTCAGGAAACTTTAATAAGTCTCTATCCCAGATAGTGGGAATACAAACATGAATAAGGTATCCTCTTCCCTTCTCTCAAGACTCTTAATTTTTCACCTGGTGAGAAAGATGCAGATATTTTTAATCCAGAGTGGTAAGTGAAATGTCAAAAATAAGTATGAGAACTGAGAGGAACAAAATTAATTCAGCTGTGACTGAGGTGGAGGAAAAGGAGCAATAGCTGTCTATGAATATTTTCCAAGAAAAGTAATGATAAATTGAGCTTTGAAGGCCTAGCACTTGAATGCTTGAAAGTCCATACACCTTAAATCAAATAGAACAAATTATGTTCCACTTCTATAGTGTAGCCATTTAAGTGTATATAGAAAAGTCTGTCTCTCAAATTTTCTCTAGGACAAGTAGCCACGTTTCTTCAATTATTTCTCAATTATAAGTGTTACATATCCCTTATTGTTTCAGTTCCATATCAAATTATCTTAAATATCCTGAATTATATAATCTAAAGATTCTCTAAAGGCAAAAAATATAGCACATCTTTCAAGTTAAAGAGCTGTAGCCGAACTCTTAGTTGTGTGAGTTATAAGTAAACAACACTCATATATAGAATATAAGTAAAACCCAGCCTCTCCCCTCAGCATGCTAAATAAAATTGAAAGCTAAAAGAGGACTAACACAAATGGGTTTAAAGTGAGACACTAACAATTGTTAGCTTTACCATCTTGGTTAACTTTATAGTTAAGATTCCACAAGCAATAGATATATAGTAACCACATATATAGTAACCACCATATACATATATATATGTATACCCGGGGAGGTAACTCCGTTTAATAATCTGGGGAAAGAGGACTCTGAGTTAATGTCGTCCTCATAGAAACAATTCTTGCCTATTAAATCAGTGAGAGGGCTAGAGAAGCCTAGACTTATCTCGACTATCTTTTGTGTAATGCTGGGGGAAATGCTGAAATGTCATGAGACAGAGATACTAGCTGTAATGGTAAAATACTATTCACATTCGAAAAGTTAATTTTTCCTTGTTTTCTAAAGGCATAAACTTAGTAATAGACCTCTCTACTCTTTAAAAAAAATAACTGTTTGACTGGAAATGATGCATTCAATTTCTTCAAAGAGATTTGGGGAAATCTATTGAACTCCTCTGAAGAACTAAATCAACCTTGGGTTGCATCCATATACTGAAAACTGTAGACCCCCAAGGTGATCAAACAAGCCAACAGCTGCTAGATGTCTATTAAAACAGTACTAGAAAGGAATTTATTTGATGCATTTCTCCTGGGAGATTTATATCGAAAATGAGACAAGAAATCACATTCTCTCTTATAAATCAACTTTGACAAGTCCCAAACTGGGAATATATCTGTAATTAATAAATGAAAATTATGAAGCTTATTTCCTGCACTTACTTCAACCCATCCTACCCACTCTTGTGGAGTTATACCCAATACTAGTTAGGCCTTTGAGAAACAAAAATTTGAAATGAAGATCTATCGGCTATTTGTTAAGGCAAAGGCTTCTTAGTAGATGCATAGGATAAATATATATAAATGGAAGCTCCCTGAGGGCAGGAAAGAGCACATGTTAAGAATTTTTCATATACTTACTACTTGGCTATAATCAGTCAAAAAATATAGGGGTGACTTCAGTCTCTAATTTGGGGAAACTGCTCATCTACCAATAGCTTTCAAGTCATGGCCAAGGATGATATCTTAACTTATATCCAGGCTTTCATACTTGGACAAATGCTGTATTTATCTCATTACTCAAGATTCACAGTGTTTTTTTTAGATAGATTGGTCTGTCAGAATAAATTCCATTAAATGAGAGAGTTAACACAGTTTCTGAATTCTGAATTTTATATCAGGAGATATAAAAAATATTGCTGCAAATGAAGTTTTAGATTATCAAAATTGTAAAAGTGTCCAAACAACTCTCTATAACAAATTATTGTTATGTTCACCATGAGAATTTTTTTTAATTCACTACTGAAAATTAGGCTTTTGGGGTCCCCTAATGAGCCAAATTCAATGAGTAATATGTACTATTTCTTCAGAAGAGGTGTCTCAGTCTGCTGCTGTTTTGCCTGGTTATTATCAACAGGGTCAGAGAAACTTGTCCAGGGGTAGTGATAGTTAAGGTAGTGTTGAAGAGTTCAGGAAAATGATGAGAAAAGCTATAGCAGTAATTCTCAAAGTGTTGTCTCAGCACCTGTGGCACTAGCATTACCTGGAAACTTGTTAGATTTGCAGCCCCACCTCAGGCCTACTGAATCACATAGTCTAGGATGGGGCCCAATAATCTATGTTTGAATAAGCCCTGCAGATGATTTTCATGTATCTTAATATTAAGAGCCACTAGACTAGATATTAGAAATTTGACAGAAAATGGTGTGTTCAAAATACTTTAATTTCTTTAGTGTGGCTCAACTTTAAGTGTGGACAGTGGTAAAGCTTGAGGATGAAAATGTAAACAAGATGGCAATGTGCCTCGTGTCTATGCAATTTACACCATATCCTTAGGATGATGGAGAGCTGTTCAAATACTGGTAAGCAGGGCATCGATAAGGAAATACCTGTTAAAATAACTCCTGGGGCAGTGTGAGAAATAGACTGAGTCCCTGACTAGGGGAGGTTTCCCACAAAAACAAGAGGATAATTGGTTGGGAGATTGAATGATATTCTAGTTACAGAAGACTTCTGGGGATTGGGAAAGGACTCTCTAAATCAGAATGGACTGAAAAGGAGGGAGAAGACAAAGATATGCATCAGGTTTTTGAAGATGGGTAGATGTTGAAGCTACTGAAAGGATTAACAACAAAGAGGTACCATTTTCAGAAATAGAATAATTGGATTTGTTGAATTTGGAGTTCCTGTGGGTATCTGTAGATTTAGGACTCAGAATTCTGATTATCAACTATCTATCTAGGTATATGTAAAATTAATCTGTAGAAACAAATGTGATATCCTAGGAAAATAATATAAGAGAAAAGAGAACTGAGCAAAAGGCCCTGAAATCACTAAAAAGACATTTATGGCCATGCTGGACAGAAAAAAGAAGGAGGCAAAGGAAACTTTAATCTCCAATTTTTACACTACTACTATGGACCTAGTCATCATTGTCTATTAACAAAACTTATTAGCGTGGGTGTTAAAAATATGGCTAATCTGGAGAAACTAAAGTTTGCATACTTTTTGAGAGAGACCTAGCTTTTCCAAAGATAAAGTTTAAAAAATTATTAAAAACTCTAAAGCACCAATGCTTTCAAAAATTATAATTTAACTTAATGGGAATAAGGACATTTACATAATGGCCTTGAAACTAAGGGGAAAAAACACATTTAAAGCACAACTTTAAATATTTGTAATTTGACCAAATAAAAAAAAATAATAATTATAAAAAGATAGCTGCCCAAAGTCCTTTCTCCCATCCCTCCACTGGTATTCAGCATCCCCCTGAAATGAAAACTGCATACTTCATATATACAATGTTCCTCTTCCACCTTCCTTTCAAAATCTAAGCTTTACTACATTTACTGAAGAGAGGAACTTTCTATTTAAAATATCCATTCATATCAGAATTTATTTCCATAGTGTCCCTTTGTCTTAGGAAAGGTTGTAAGGACACCACACTATTTCATGTTACATTAGAGCTATAAGTACAATTATGACCCAACTCACAGTTCAAACATCAATATTGTATGCTGGAGGGAAGAAGAGAGTTGAACATAAGGTGTCAGCCCTACCCTCATCTTGGCCTCTCTGGAAGTAGATGTATTTATTTATTTAGCAAGCAAATCATTCTACAAAAAAATTCTGCAATCTTTCCAAGATATAGTTTTGCATTTGATGGTCTTAGCTGCCTTCTAGCCCCCTGCCCACACCCTTACCAGCCTCTAAGGACATACACACATATACATACATATTTTAGGGTGAGGACGGGGTATAAGATGAATTATCTCTTTTCACAAATGTCTCCCCTTTATCTCCAAATTATGGATAATGAGGCCAGAAGTGTAATTACTGAAGGCGTTTGGAAAGGTAATTACTGAACTAATCTCAAAAATGGCGGTGACTGCAATACAACAAAACTCACTTTATAGCTGTCAGAGCCACTTGGAATGTGATAAACGTCTTGTGTTTGCAAACCCAGATGCTGTACCAAAGGGAGTTACATGTTAGCAAATTACCACAACGACCTCCTACACTCAACTCATTTTGATTTCGTAATGAGAAAGCCGATTAAACTGGAATAACTTTAGGTTGTGATTGTTAAAGTTAAACAAGTTACACATCTTGACGGGGGTGAGGGAATAAAGAAAGATGGCAGATTTGAGGAACCTGCTCTGAGATCCTGTTGAAATTACACATTTTGAAGCCTGAAGTTTGCAAACAGCAAATGGAACTGGATAGCAGTACTCCCAGTAAAGCTCTGAGCTTTGAGACTACGGATGAAGATTGCAGGGGAGAATGGTTATTTCCAAAGCATAGGCACAAATGTCCATGGAACATATAGATTTCAACGCCACGATTTTGGCTTCTCTGTTTCTTGCACTGTCTCACCAGTATCCAGCGAGCACACAGTCTCATCCTCCCCTAGTTCCTTCACTCACACTGGCAGAGAACTCTTTATTTCAGCAGTCTTAGTGCTCCCCTAACACCACGGATGTGGTTTCCTTCCCCTGCCTTTGACCTAGGGTCCCTTGTCTTTGCCACCTCGTCCCATCCTTTTGTGACGCCAGTGGCGCTGCACGGTCCCCACAGCGCTAGGCTCACAAAGGTAAGCGCACACTGCAACCGTGCTCAGTGCTCTGGGCGCTTCAGGCTGTCTTGGTCCTGCTGCTCCAACTGCAAGGGCCCTCGGAGGCGCGCCTGATTGCTCCATCACTCACCATGGCCAGCCAGTTCTGCCTCCCTCCAGCCCCACACCTCTCGCCCCTGAAGACTTTGACGTCACATTTCGGAGACATCCAAGTGGGCATATCCGTGGCGATCCAGCGCAGTGACAAGCGAATCCACCTCGCTGTAGTCACAGAGATGAACAGAGAAAACTCTTGGGTCACGGTAGAGTGGGTAGAGAAAGGAGTCAAAAAAGGCAAGAAAATTGATCTTGAGACCATATTTCTGCTGAATCCAGCTCTGAACTCTGCTGAACACCCCATGCCGTCGAGATCTTTGTCCCCCTTGTCTCCAATTCCCTCTTCCGCCATCGGAGATCAGAGAACAGCCACTGGGTGGGTTGCAGTGACCTCCCACACAAACAAGTCACCCTCAGGGGACAGCCAGGCTGTGAGGGTCCCCAGCAATCCTTGTCTGATGAAGCAGAAAAAGTCTCCCTGCCTACGGGAAATCGAGAAACTGCAGAAGCAACGGGAGAAGCGCAGGAGGCTGCAGCAGGAGATCCAAGCGAGGCGCGCCCTCGATGTCAACGCGGGAAACCCCAACTACGAAATCATGCGCATGATCGAAGAGTACCGCAGGCACCTGGACAGCAGTAAGGTGTCAAGCCTGGAGCCCCCGGAAGACCATCGGATCTGCGTCTGCGTGAGGAAGCGACCTCTCAACCAAAGAGAGACCACCATGAAGGACCTGGATATCATCACCATTCCCTCGGACAATGTGGTTATGGTGCATGAGTCTAAGCAAAAGGTGGATCTCACCCGTTACCTGGAGAACCAGATCTTCTGCTTCGACCATGCCTTCGATGACACGGCCTCCAATGAATTAGTGTACCAGTTCACAGCCCAGCCGCTGGTGGAGTCCATCTTCCGCAAGGGCATGGCCACCTGCTTTGCCTATGGGCAGACAGGCAGCGGGAAAACGCACACCATGGGAGGAGCCTTTTCCGGAAGGGCCCAAGATTGCTCTAAAGGCATTTACGCCCTGGTGGCACAGGATGTCTTTCTCCTGCTCAGAAACTCCACTTACGAGAAGCTGGACCTCAAAGTCTATGGGACATTTTTTGAGATTTATGGGGGCAAAGTGTATGATTTGTTAAACTGGAAGAAGAAGCTGCAAGTCCTTGAGGATGGCAATCAGCAGATCCAAGTGGTAGGGCTGCAGGAGCAAGAGGTGTGCTGTGTGGAGGAAGTACTGAAACTCGTCCAAATAGGGAGTAGCTGTCGGACTTCCAGGCAGACATCTGTCAACGCTCACTCATCCAGGAGCCACGCGGTGTTTCAGATCATCCTGAAGTCAAGAGGGAAACTGCATGGCAAATTTTCCCTTGTTGATTTAGCTGGGAATGAAAGGGGAGCAGATACTGCCAAGGTCAACCGGAAGAGGCAGCTGGAAGGGGCAGAAATTAACAAAAGTCTTCTAGCCCTCAAAGAATGTATCCTGGCTTTAGGTCAGAACAAACCTCACACCCCATTCAGATCCAGCAAGCTCACGCAGGTGCTCCGGGACTCCTTTATAGGCCAAAATTCCTCCACTTGCATGATTGCTACTATCTCTCCAGGGATGACCTCTTGTGAAAACACCCTCAACACTTTAAGATATGCAAACAGAGTCAAAGAATTAACTCTTGATGTAAGGCCCTACCATCGTTGCCTCTATCAGATTGGGCACGAGGCCCCAAAGATGTTAGAAAACCATAATAGAAATTCAGAAATGTCCCTTCAAAGGGATGAGTTTATGAAAATACCTTGTATACAGAGTGAAGAGGAAACAGAGTTTGAAGAAGTTGAAACATCCTTCATTCCATTAATGAAGGATACAACAACTTCATGGAAGCAATCTATCCAATGGTGCGAGAACATCCAGCAGATAGCTGATGGAGTAAACGATGATATTGATTTTTGCATTGCTCATTCATTGTCCATTTTGGAGCAGAAAATCGGTGTCCTGACTGAGATCCAAAAGAAACTGAAATTATTACGAGCTGACCTCCAAATGAAGAACAAGGCGGAGTGAAGCCAAAGGGAAAAGATCTGGTCTGAAATGATGGAGGCAGTGCTGCAGCTTCTACCACTCCTATACATGAAAATTGTCAAATTATCTAAATATAAACACCTTCCTGAAAGCTAACAACTTAAAATATTCTGATCAGAAATGTGCTCTTCCTTCTTCCTCTGTATTTCTGTAGTTGGTATTCATTCTGTAGGACATGGGTTCTCAACTGAGAATGATTTTCCCCCCACCTCAGGACATTTGGCAATGTCTGGAAACCTTGCAGATGGTTACAACTGGGGAGTGGGGATACTGGAATATAGTGGGTTAAGGACCAGAGATGCTGCTAGGCATCCTACATTGCACAGGACTGCTTCTCAAACCAAATAATTATCTGGTTGAATATATTAGTGGTACTGAGGTTGAGAAATCCTGCTGTAGAAGAACCAGCTTGCTGAAATCAGATACCCTAACTTTACTCTAGGAAAGCAATATACTGTGAATTAAAGTGGCTAGAGTGAAAGCACACTAAGGGGTAGAACCAATGGAGTAAATCTAATGATACTCAGGAATCTTTCTCTTATATTTCTGTGTAAATTCAAGGGGTTTCTAAGATCCAGTCAACTGGGAAGAGGGATTTTCTTTGAGATCATGTGTGAGAGCCTAGAATTGAGATAAGTTTGTTTTGGCTTTTTTTTTTTAAATCTTTGAGTTGAAATTGCAAAGTACTATGCTCCCTGGGAATGACTAAATACAGTAGTGTATGTGTGTTTTGCATAAGCAGGGCTTTGCTGACTATGGTGTCTTTAAGTTTTTGTTTTTTGTTTTCTCACACTCTCACATTTTGTACACATTTTGATTCAAATAAAACTGCCTTTCTACTTTAAATTAGGGTGGGGAATAATTCAGCAAAACAATAGAAAAGCTCCCATCTAAAGTGGGGTACATCCCATAAAGGCTTCAAAAGTAGTGTGAGAAGCTTTGATACCTTAGATCCATTAAATAAATAGAACATTTTTCTGATTCAGAGATCACAAAGTCTATCCTTTTTTCTTAAAAAGATAATATTATATGCAAATACAAATCTATTTATAATAGATAATCTAATACACAAAGCAAATTGATCTAATAATCAATGAACATATTCATGAGATACTATAATGAAAAAGAAGGGTATTTTGGTTTCAAATTTATCAGTTCCAAACTCCTTTTCAAAGAATGAAAGTATCCTAGCACTGTGGGAAGGCAAGGCGGGAGGATTACTCGAGGTCAGGAGCTCGAGACCAGCCTGAGCAAGAGCAAGACTCTGTCTCTACAAAAAAATAGAAAGAAATTAGCCGGACAACTAAAAATCTATATAGAAAAAATTAGCCTAGTATAATGGTGCATGCCTGTAGTCCCAGCTACTTGAGAGGCTGAGGCAGAAGGATCGCTTGAGCCCAGGAGTTTGAGGTTGCTGTGAGCTGGGCTGAAGCCACAGCACTCTAGCCCTGGTAACAGAGCAAGACTTTGTTTCAAAAAAAAAAAAAAAAATATATATATATATATATAATGGTTTGCAAAGAAAGTGTATAGCAGATAGCAGATTGGGGAAATTTGGGAACATAGACAATAGGTAGTCTACAAATTTTGCTATTACTTTTAGCAGGTATGCCCTATTCAAATTTTTTGCCCACAATTTGCAAAGGCCTCATTAGCATTAATGATAACTAGCACATAACTCTACCATAGAGTAGAATAGTAATGTCCTAGTAAAAGCTATCTGTGTAAAACAGTCGGTATCACCATGAATATCTGGCCTTTAATAATTAATATTGTCATTTCTAAATATTTTCCATTCTGCCTCGTTTATGCAGGTGAAGTTATATATTATTAAAATAAACAAAACCTTGAAAACTTGTTGTCCTTTAGCATAAGATGATCTTTCCATCAGTATGAGATTTTTTTTAAAAAATTCAGTTATGTTTGCATGCAATAAAGAAGTATACGGTTAAGAATCTTGTGTGGGTTCCAGTGTCAGTCCTATTATTAATATATAAACATCTGTAAATTTAGGCAAGTTATCTAGCCCCCCGAGCTGTTTCTGTATGAATCAGGATAGCACCTACTTTCAAAAAAAAGTGGTTTTATTTTCTCCTTTCCTTTCTCCTATCTTTAATGGCAATGACTATGTGCTTATTTAATGTTGTTCTTACTATTATTAATATCACTGTCCTTGTTGTTCTGCTACCATCTCCACTATCCCAATACCACATCTGCCACACCCACAAGTTCAGGTAGCCTACTAGAAGTTTAAACATTCTGATATCGATGTAATTTATTTTAATGATTTTAAGTATCACATAAAATGAAGTGCACAAATCTTAACCATACAGTTCCATGAATGTTTACAAAGTGAATACATCTAATTAAACACCATATGGATCAAAACATAGAACATAACCAGTATCCCAGAAAAAAACCTTGTTTCAGTCATGTCAGTCATTATTAAAATCGTCATGTAGTTTGCCTCTTTAACTTCTTTTTTTTTCCACATGGGTGACATCATACTGGATACATTTGCATCTCTGCCAGGCTTCTTTCTATCAAAATGATCTGTGATCTGTACTTTTACATTGCTCTTTATTATTCCACCACATAAATATTTCATAATTTATAAATTTTACTCTTGATGGATAATTAAGTTATTTCTGTTTTAAATGATTATAAATAAACTATAAACATTTTTATACATGTCCTTTGGTGCACATTTTTATGCATTTCCATTAAGTATGCCTAGGTGTGGAATTCTTTGGTCCATGGTATATGAATATTCTGCATAATAGATTGCTTTAAGGAGTTTTCCAAAGAATTTGTACTGATTTTACAGTACCACCATAATTGCATGAGAATTTCTGGTCCTCCATATGTTTGCCTACACTTAGAATTGTCATTTTAAGTAGTTTTTAAAATTTTATACATTCTGATATGTGTGGAAAGGTATATTATGATAGTTTCATTTTTTTCCCTGATTACTAATCATGTTGAACATCTTTATATAAGCTTACTGGCTATTTAGACCTTTTGTGCAATAGATGTGTTCTGGATATAAGTTCTTCAAATATATATTGCAAATATTTCCTCTCAGTATCTAGAGTGCCTTTTCCCTCTCTTAATGGTGTCTTTGGATGATCACAAGGTATATATTCAATTAATATCAATTTATCATTTTTTCAGTAATTAAATCCTATTTGAGATATATCTATCTACTCCAGATCATGAAGCTATTCTTCTTTGTTATCATGTAAAAGTTTTATTTTGAAGAATAAAGTGAACTTATACTTGTAGATATTAAGACTCATAAAGTTTTACTTTTCATTCATGAGAAATTGATTTTTGCATATAGCATGAAGTATAGCAGACAAAGTTATTTTTCTATTCTCTGGATTCATCTGCATATAATTTCCACTAATTCTTTGGTAAATGTACCAAAGAAGTTACTATTGAAGCCATCAGAATCTGCAGTTTATTTTTCTTTTCCTTTTTTTTTAATTTTTTTTTTTAATTTTAATTGAGGCAGAGTCTGGTCTGTTGCCTGGGTTAGATCACCATGTTGTCATCACAGCTCACTGCAACCTCATACTCCTGGGCTCAAGTAATCCTCCTGCCTTAGCCTCTAGAGAAACTGGGACACAGGTATGTGCCACCATGCCTGGCTAATGTTTTACTTTTTGTAAAGATGAGGTCTCACTATGTTGCCCAGACTGGGTTCAAACTTTGCTTCAAGCAATCCTCTCAGCTTGGCCTCTCAAAGTGCTAGTATTACACCTTGAGTCACCATGCCCAATTCTGGAGTTTTCTTTATGGGAAAATTTTACAGATTCAATTTATTTAGCAGATATGAAATTATCCAGATTTAGATTTACTATTTCTCTTATATCAGCTTTAATAAGTTTTGCTAATTTATTGTTATAAAACTGTAGTATATTCATTATCTGTGATGTCGATATTATCAGTTTCTAATTTTTTATTTGTGATACTGATAAATTGTGCCTTCTCTTTTTTATTCCTAATTAGAAATATATATTATATGTCTACAAATTATATTACCCTCTTCAAAGAAACAACTCCTGGCTATTTTATTTTCTCTATTGTGTTTTATTCCATTTTTCTCTTTTCTGTTTAATTTCTATTTTTTTTTCAGTTTATTGACATCTATGTTTAGATCACAAATTTGTCATATTTTCTTTTTTATACTATTAAGATTATACATTTTCCTTTAAATACTTTTTTAGATTAATCTACAGTATAACATTTTTATTATTAATATTTAGTACTTGAATATTCAAAATATTAATTTTTTCCTAATTTCCATTTCTTTTACCAATAAGTTATTAAAAGAATTGCTAATCACTATTTTTAAAATTCAAGTTGGTTATTCATGTTATTTACATATTTTGTAACACATTAATTTTTATCAGTTGCCAAGATATTAAATTTTTAAACTTTGTACATTTATCTATTTGTCCTTTTAATTCTGAGTATTCAGTTTATATTTTTTTGAGGCCATTTTACCAATTACATATAAATTTAGGGTCTTTATATATTTTTGTTGAATTCACAATTTTAATTTTACAGTTTCTCTTTATAGTTTTTTTGCCTTAAATTCTGCATTTTCTAATATTAGTATAGATAATATTTGCTTTCTTTTAGTTTGTATTTGTGTGGTATGTATTTTATCATCTGTTCATTTGGAATCTTTTTGTTCTTTATTGATAAGGTTTATTTTTATAAGCAAGGTGTAGTTGATTCTAATTTATTTTATTTTCTTTTAATCCCATATTATAATCTTTATCTTTTAATAAGATAACTTATTATATCCACCTTTAATATAACTCCTGATATATTTAGGTTTATGTTTATGAGCATATTATTTATTTCCTATATATGCATAATGTACTTTTTTCCCACTTTCTTTTATATTAAGTTACTTTTATTTTGTTGTTCATTATTTCTCCTCTAATTGCTTGCCAATTATATATTGTTATTCTCTTTATTAGTGGTTATCTTAAAAATTATGTCACATATTCATATTAACTTATATTTGTATTTCTTCATAAAAAATGAAACTATCTTAAATATTTTAATTCATTATTCCTTTCCCAGCTTTTATGCTTATTGTCATTTAA